AAAGGGCGCTAAGGCGGGCTCAATTTTACGTCGTCTGGTCGTTGGCGTGACGATCTGGATTTTCTTCTCTCGGCAACTCAAAAGTTGCTTCCGTGGTTGTCGCGGTGTCGAACCTCTATAAAATTTTTTATTGCATAATGCGCAGGCAGATCATTTTACATACGGCCAGGGTTGGCAGCAATCGGCTGCCGAAGCCGTACATGTGCTAGACGCATTGTATTTTGTCTGGCTTGCTTGATACAAGTTATAACATCACGTGTTTAACCAACACAATAGGCGTGGCGTGTTCACACACAAGAAAAACGCGATGCAATCGTGCGATGGAATAACCGGAGATAATTTGTGTCGTTGTTCTAGCACGGCAGAATTGCTTGCTCATTACGCCCGAGCGCAATAATTTCTTTAATCGAACTGCGCATGCTCCTGCGAATGATGCCTCACTGCTCACTCGCTTGGAAATGATGGGATAGAAATGACGCGGGATTCTTTTGGCGCGAGCGTTCACACGGTACAGCAATAGTCGCGCTAATGTCCAAATAATGGGGAGTCAAGAAGTGAATGGTTTGGAAGGCGCGATGCTGAATTGCGTATTAATGAGATTATTGCGTTCCCACTTGTAATAATCTCGGTATTGTCGATCGGCGATGCAAAACCGGGATTGTGCATCGCCGGCGCTAATTTGCCGCCAGTGTGAACGCGGGCCTAAATGTTTTTCGTGTTAATTTCAATTTTTACTTCAACTGTGACTTGAGACAGTGTTATAGAGCTATAGGCGTCCTGCTTCGGGTTTTTCAGTCTTGTGATCCCCTCCCGGCAGAACATGAAAATCTTTGTGGTAACTATAAGGGGAAAGATATGAACAACAATTTTCAATCTCATCCCACGTCTGGGCCCTGCGTGTTTTTAGTAATTATGGTGGGAAAATTAGGAAATTCAGCTTATTATTCACCGACAACGCGTAGTAACATGACGTAGAATTGTCCTAATTAGGTACCGCGCGTTGCAAGCGCATGCGTAAGAGTGAAGTAAATAATCTAATCGCAGAGGCCGTACTACTAGTACGCTATGTTTGTTTATACTCGCAACATTGACTCTGTGCCGCACGGAGCCATTGAAACATCTGTGTTATTTCACACTTATTGTCACAAACGAGACTTGTGAAAAAAAAAAAAAAATTTAACAAAAAAAAAACCACCGGGTTGTCTTTTTTGTCAGTGAATTCGCTTTCTAAGATTTAAGCTGTGGCCACGTTTCTATCGCAGTGTTGCCAATTTGGAATGATTTAGTGGGCATGCAGCTCAAATTGGCGGAAAATGTCATCGGCATTCTGATACTCATGGGATGGAGTGCCTGCGCTGGGCCACTAGCCCGAGCCAGGCTGTGCGACGGATTAACGCGCTAGCAATACGTTTTTGGAGCTACTGGGCCGCATGCCGTGCCCTTGCCTTTTGCCACGAGATGGTGGATTTCACGCGCAATGCTACGCAGTATTTTACAGATTCCACAAAGCAACAGCGGGGGATTAGTTGGCAAAGCAGAAACTGGACGGTTTGCATTCTGTGTAATGGTACGCTCCTGGGGTACATACATATTTAACGCTACATATGTAATCTCCGGTGTAATATTAGTTGGCAAGCAGAACTGGAGCTGCATCTGTTAATGGTACACATACATATTAAAACGCTAACCTTATGTACGCTAGGGTGTACAAGCCCACTGACTTGAGTTAACTGAGGCAGCAGCACGAACGCGTAGACTAAGAGTAAGACTAGTAGAGTATTGTAGTAGTCTTAGTAAGAGTACGACATAGCTCTAGTCAGCTATGCTCAAGTGGCTTACTAGGCCAGTGGGCAACTGTGACGCGGGCTATATACTAGTTATTAGAGCTTAGAGTAGAGCTAAAATTAAGTTATGTACGTTATTATGTCAGTACACATTTCTCTTAACATTTGTTATTATTATTATTATGCTTTTATCTCCCACCTTTGATGTAAAAAACTTACAAGCTTGATTTTTCCCGGTTGAAGCTCACTACTAGTACTAGTAGTGCTGATAGGTCTATGTCCCCAGGGTACTATCGGAGGGTACCCTGGTAGCGGTTCGATATATCCGAAATAACCTGCGGGGTAGCTATCTTGATATGTCCTGCGTACCCTGGCATTTTACCACCGTACCCTGATTTTCACACACACACTGTTGCACAGCTCTGTTGAAAGCAGGCAAAAATATTGAGCTTAATATTGTGAATCTCAATTTAATATGAATAATTGAAGAAAATTAATAAAAGCTGTAGTCTCGTTTAATGTTTCATTGTTAATGCTGATCATGTACCATAAAATAAAAATGGTTTGATATTGACATCAAATTAAAAAACTGCATATGGCACGTTGACGGCGGCAATACGTTGGCGGCGGTACATACTCACCACCAGTATAGGGAGAAGGCATAAAATGTTGTCATCCACATAAAATTATCATTTTTCTGGCAAAAACAAGTAGCCGTAATTTTTTGTTTATCTTTTATTTTATATATGGTTTCGTGCATGATTTTCATTGATCAGTTGGCTAAAGCTAGGGTATGGATGTGAGCAATGCAGGGTACGGCAGGCGGACATATCGTATAGTACCAGCCCCGCGGGTACTTTCTGATATCTCGAACCGTATACCACGGTACCCTCCGATAGTACCCTGGGGGACAAATAGACGCTATCAGTTAGTCAAGCTCAGCTTATGATGACGGCATCCCTTTTATTTTTTTTATTTGCGCTTGTGATCTATGGTTACTTTATACATTTAGAATTACATTTCTACATGTACATGCACAAATTCGCAAAGTATTATTATTAGGCGGTTTTGTTCTATTTATGTTATAATTATGTACTGATATGTGTATCTGTTTCACATAAATTTGAATTGATTTATACTTACTTATTCATTTGTACTATTTCTGTTGAAGCTTGTAAAGGCCTCGGTACACGAGGGCTCCACGACGGCATTTTGCACGGACACGACAGAAATTTGGGCAAATCGTGGGTCATGGGGGTCGTCAGCCAAGACAGTCCTACGAAATTTGGAGCGATCGTGGCATCAACTTGTCGTCGTGAGGCAAATTGAAGCATGCCTTTTTTGGTTGCGCATGACTTTATTTGTGGTATCTCATGTCTTCTGGTTGTCGTGAGTCTGTCCTATCGACAGTCTTGCGACTGTCGTGCGATAATAACGTCGTTATATATCGGGGAGAGCGGACCGGCGCTCGACGGTCCAGCGAGTGACTACGCCTGTTGGTGGCGACATGTCCGGCACGATCTGTAGGCACGAGCACCCACGAGTGAACGCACCCTGTTCACGTGAAAAACAGCCCGCGCAAATGCCCGGACAACTCACGACTGTCGCAGCGAACTGACTTTGCGAGCACCCGCCACAAGCTAACCAGCGACATGTCTTTTTTTTACTGTCGCGTCCGCCTATCGCTAACCATCTGATGTGTGAGGTGCTTGTGACGACTCGAAATACATTTCGGACTGATTTCAAATGTGGCACGACAATATCTTTTATGGGTGCCACCACGCAAAATTTCGTAGCGATCGCGTTGTGACCAAGGTTACATGGAAAATCAGAGCAATGAAATTACAAGATCAAACTGCCATTTGTTTTT